TGTTTTCATCGGTTCTGAGTGAAGAGTTGAGGATGCGCCTATCTCGTGCCAACGCAGATTTGGACGAACTGCGCCTTTCTTTAGCTAATGAAAAACAAGCTCGTGAAGCGGCTGAAGAAAATCTACGACGTTGTTCGGATCTGGAGATGAAGGTAGTTTCCCTCGGTATCAAGCCTTGAATCTTTTCTTGCCGCATTGGAATCGTTTTTGAAACCGAAGGAGCTCATTATTCTACAAAAATGAACTGTCAAAGGCAACAGAGGCCATGTAGCGTAATACGCCTACGAACAAACATCATTACAGTTAAGAGAACGATCTGTTCGAGTGGACGATCTTATAACAGCTAATGAAAAGATGTCGCAGGAACTGGAATATCTCCGCCAGGTAGGGAAGAACCTCGTCGAAAACTATTTTGCTTTCTACATTCTTGTCATATTTGCAGGCAGCCGCAAACAGCAGTAGCAAAGAGGAGACACAACGGCTTTCTGATGCTCTTAGGGAATGTCGTGAAAATCTTGAACGGGCGATTGCTGAGAAGAAAGTTTTGATGGAAAAAGAGGTATTTATCGTGGCTCATCCATCTTGTACGTGCGAACCTGTTTCGCATCTTTAATTATACCTATCTTCCTTTTGATGCATTATTATTCTAGGTCGCCAACGCTGAACAAATTGCTAAAGTGGAGTCTCTGCGTTATGAGTTAAAATGTCGCGATGAAATTGTGGCTGACCTACGATCCGTGGAAGCAAAGTTACAAGATGCGTTGGTATGATATATTCCCAAAAGAGTGTTCGATTTGTTCGGCTGTTAAGGTTTTTCATGATTAAGGTAGAAAAGTCTGCGGAGATAACGAACCTTGGACATCGGCTGGATAAAATTAATGATGAATGTGACAGAGTGCGTGAGGACTTCCGCGTTTTTCAGGTGTGTTATTGGTGCTTCTAATCGTACAATTTCAACTCCATCACCTTTGCTATATTTAAAAAATGACTGCAATTTTACTCTTTTGGTTTCTCGTGCTGCAATACCATTCAGCTATAGCAGTATTTAGCGAACGAGCCGTTTAGGAGTTAGCAGAACAGCAATATTGTGAAATGGTGGAAGAAAAGCGTGGACAGATTGATGCACTTTCATATCGCCTAGCTCAATTGGAGTCTTATCCAGGTAAAACTGGAGTTCACGTGAATTGCTTTCCTCGAACAAATATTTTTCTCCTTTTACATAGACCTACTACCTGAACAGGAGGATTGACATTCATCATATCTGTACCATCTCTTACTTCTTATTCTATCAGGTTGTACGTGAGATATTCCGGTTATGTTTAATCGACCCATACTTCCAGTGTAAGCCTATTTATATGATGTCGTGAGGCATGCGTCGAGTGTGCAGGAGCCTTTCTCCCTCTGCCCGCTCACGGCCATCCGTTTGGCACTTGGAAGCCACAATGCAGCCAATATTCCAACTCGACAGAGTGTACCTCGC